TTCGTTTAGTTATCACCAAAACTCGTTCTATTTTGTTGTAGATCATAAAACCGTACGCTGCCTCAGAAGCCTGTCCGAAATCAGTTTCACGAAGTGCTTCCGTGCAAAAACGCTGCTTGCAAAGTCATTGTCTGATAAGGCAGCGAGGCAGCAAGTCAGCTGCCTAGGCTTTCGGAAAAGTAGCCTACTCTTTGTGATTGGTTTTCGGTCCTTTGTATTAAACTATAATACATTATAATTAATTATATATGGTTTATAAACATTATTTTAAACATTATGCACTTTTTTTTCAAAGATATAATCCCCATGTCATATAAGACATAGACTACTGAAACTAGTCATATACAAGTGTGGTCATCTCTTAGCTGACACCTGCTATCTGCTCCAGCCTCTCCAGCATTTCCTTAGCTTTAGATACACTTGTATACACTTGGGGTGGTCTGTGGGATGCAAAGTGGGCAGTACAGGAGATGAGAATTTGGATTAAGCAAGAAACAAGTCACAGGTGGCATACAGGACAGGCTGATCTGCACTCTCTAGGCTCTAATAAGCAAAACTTTTCTTCAGTCAATTTGAAGGTAAATGAGACTTTATTGAGACTTTTTTTTACTGATGCATTATTCTAATTATTATAACCAGAAACTTCCTGAACCTATCATCACCTCGCAGGACAATTATGGACCATGTTATGGTCAATGCCAGAGTATGGAAGTATATTAGGTAAGAGTTTTCTTTAGCTCCGCCCCCTGAAACCCTCGCATTCCCGGAATTCCTGCACAGTGCTCACCTGGCCCAACTCACCTTCAGCAAACAGATACTTATGCCCACTACTCTGACTGAGAAACATTAAACAGACGAGTAACATCTCGTACAGGCTACACAGAAGGCACTCTCTTAGTGAAAGGTCTGTGTGTGTGGGCTAGCCGAGATAGTCACAGGAGACAGATTAAGATAGCATTAACTAATATCCTCCTCCTCATGCACTGACCTCCATCTCCAGCCGTAAAAAAAGAAAAAAAAATTGATAAAACTGCAGTCAAAACTCCTGTTCTTTCGCCTAACGTTAACACTCAATCAGCAGCCAGCTCAAACTTTACACATTAAACAAAGTCGCACTTTAGGTTGTCAATACACGAATAATAATGCGTTCTCATTACCTTTCGGAGCACTTGTTTAATCCAGCCAATATGTCTAAATATCAAAGCCCCTGGAGAAGAAGTATTCTCCTCTGCCGGACGAGCGGAGTACGAGTGACGTCAGCGCACGCCGGGGTTTAAGCCCCGCACGCCATTGGCCCACACCGGGTAGAGCGGAAGCCTGGTTGGTCGGCTGTGTTGTTGAATTGGCCAATAGGAGAGGAGAAAACAGTTTCCATGGTTACGCGGGATACACAAGGAACAGTCTTTGCAACAGAACTGTGGTAATAGTTTTTAATTTGCTTTTATTCTGTTAGGGCTTAGGTGTGCTGTTTGAAGTTATTTTCTTCCTTTTAATAGTTGCTAGTACTTTGAGAAACTCAAAGAGAGATTTTAAGATGTTTAAAAAGAAAAATGTTAGATAATTAATTCGGTAAATTAATGACTTTACATCGTGGGTAATACTTTCAGCTGGACACTGTATGTGTAAAGCTATTCTGAGAAAATCTCATTGTAAATGATGTTTTGTTCATTCACAATCGAAATGGATGTAAACAATCATGGTCTTTTCTGTATTGTTTGAAGCCGTTCTCTTCACGTCTTAGTTACTTGTCAAGTCAAGTCACAATTAGATACACGGTGCTTTATGCAATACAGAGTGTATCAAAACAACTTCACATTAATAACAGTGTCAACAAATTCATCAGTTAACTTGACCTTTAGCTGTAAAGCAGCGACAGTAGTGCCATCAGTTCAATTTAGTTAGGTGTTGTTTCATTTCTGTTCAATAACTATCAATATTACAGACTCCATTAATTATAAAACAAGTTCTGTACATCTCAATAGCTATATACTAGGCAATAGAGTCATTATTCAGCTCAAATCTGTACAATGTTGATTGGATCCCGTTTTTTGTAAGTGTCCATGTTGTTGCAAAAAGTTAGTGTTATTATCCAGCTCAGTTAAAGGCACAATATGTAAGACTTTTTTATTAAAGTATCCAAAAACCACTAGAACAGTGTTATATATTTTGCTGACTTGTGTACTTACATTATCCCAAATGTTTCGCAGAATGTTTAAATCCAGAGAAATAAGCAATTTTAACTAATGACATGGAGCGTGTCGATAGTGTCATTGTGTCGCCTGCCAATGACGTCATAACCCCTCGATTTCTGTTTTTTGTAGAAAACACCAAAGACGCTTTAATATGTTGTGCATTTTAATAGACCGGTGACGACCGCACAGAGTAGCATTATAACAGAACTAAATGTATCTAGTATGATAAAACAGCGCTGCTTTACCCCACATACGCACGACCGGAAGCAGCGGAAAGCGCTCGACTGTGGCATAATAAAAAGCTCCGCTGCTTTCGAGACGTGTGTCACGCTCGTTCAGCGGCCTCGTTTCGCTTCGACGGCTTTCAGCCTCACCCTGCTTCATTCTACTACGTTAATAAATCATTAGCTCATCCATGAACATGACTTCTGCCCGAGTCCCGTCGGATTGCATCGGCTGTGGGGATGAAGACCACAACTCCCATGATTCCACACTCAGTCACAGTCATCAAACTACGCCTTTGTATCTTTGTTTGCTTTGAAAACGCGCCCTCCAGCGGCGAAAATGACATATTGTGCCTTTAAGTTCAAATTCTGATAATGTCAGTGCAGTTAAATCAAAAATATTACTGAATATTGATTGTATTTTAAACCTGTCATATACATACATTGCATTGATTTTACATTTATACAAAGTCCTACATTTGTAATCATATTTTCATTTTGTTCTCCTGAATTATTCACAGATGAGTAGCAGAGATGTTTGTTCTTTTGTCACAAACCACTGCTCTGAAGACAAAGCTGTGATCAGACGTTAACATTTTATCCAGAAAATTATCTGTCAGCACCATCTGTCATTCATTCCCCTCAGCAACTCAGCTGCAGAAAAGTGTGTTAAAACCATGTATTAATTACATGCACACTCCTTTGCTTATTGTAATGTGTGTGTGTGTGTGTATGTGTGTGTGTGTGTGTGTGTGTGTGTGTGTGTGTGTGTGTGAGTGTGTGTGTGTGTGTTTATTCTCCTGAATTATTCACAGATGAGTAGCAGAGATGTTTGTTCTTTTGTCACAAACCACTGCTCTGAAGACAAAGCTGTGATCAGACGTTAACATTTTATCCAGAAAATTATCTGTCAGCACCATCTGTCATTCATTCCCCTCAGCAACTCAGCTGCAGAAAAGTGTGTTAAAACCATGTATTAATTACATGCACACTCCTTTGCTTATTGTAATGTGTGTGTGTGTGTGTATGTGTGTGTGTGTGTGTGTGTGTGTGTGTGTGTGTGTGTTTTTAATCGCATAGAAAAGTTGCCTCAAAGAATACAAGTGGGTCTGGGACACTCAAAATGTAAAGTGGTCCAATATGAGCAACTACAGGACATGCTAGAGGCCAAACGCCTTTCCTCTCAGCTCTCTCAACAGAAGGTAATTAATGTGTTGGCTACCATTTGCCATGCCTTTGTTACAGTGCAGAAAAGGGTATTTTGGCTAGTTTTGCAGGCACAGTCCATTTTCTTTGATCATGCTTGACACATCTCCTATAAAATAGATTCCTTTTTTTATTTGTGTTCAATTTTTGATAGATAAATAATTATAATACAGTTATAAATGAATAATTCAGACCGGTCCAGCAATCATCCTTTATGAGAGTTCTTAACTTTTTGGAGTCAGCGAAGGTGCTATGAACTTCAAAAGCAATTTCAAATGAAAAAACTTAAAATACTCTGTAATTTTTGGTCGTACAGATAAGAGTAAGACATCACTTAAAACTGTAAAGAGACTTTTTTTTGGCCCAGGTCCCCCCATCCATTATCCAGGTCCCTTACCATCCCTACCAATAGTATATTGTTATTAAATGTAAAAAGCTTGTCATTGATTGCCAAATAAGAGTTTTGTGTAGTGTAGACACAGAGTTAGATTGTTGCAAACCATATTCTTTTGCAAGTAGTTACTAGAGGGAAGTATCGCACCTAATGAGAAACGCTGCACTAAACCATTGTTATTAACAATGCAATAAATTAAGAAAATAAATAGATATAAGGTGTATATTCATTGGAACAAAGTAACTTTCAAAGCAAACAAAGACATTTACTTGTAAAGACATTTAAGTTATTTACCTTCATATTTAGTTGTACTCGTAATATAATTATTTCATTCTTTCAAGGGAGCTTGACAAGACCTGTCTCCACAAAGACACAAGTCCATTCTCCCAAGCTTACATTCATTTTACACTGAAACATAAAAAAATCCCCACAAACACCTATTCGAAAACAGTTTCTGTGATGCAGGGAGAATACACAATTTTTACAGCATTGCTTTTAACACGAAACAGGAAACTGGGGCCAGATTAAAAAAAAAAAAATTCTTAAAAACGTGCTGGAGATGTTCTAAATGCTTTTTGTGTAGTTTATTTTGTGGCTCAAATAAAATACATGTTACTTAGAGACTGACATGTTTGGCTTGTCAAAAATGTTACATTCAGCTGTTAAAAATGTTTCAATTGGTTGACTGGAAAATCAAGTTTTTTTGTTTGTTTGTTTTTTACAAGAAAAGGAGTGTTCTTTATTTTGTAATATCTTTTACAAAAAAAAAACAAAAAAAAAATCGTCAGTGGTACAAAGATCTCTTATATGTCCTGTACAGGTCAAGGTAAATGATGTGATAACCCCTACATGTTAAGGGTAGGGTAGGCAGTTTCTGCACTACTAGTGCCATCTAGTGGAACTTCAAAAATAAAGCATGTTTCAAGCAACCTGTGCACGTCACGCCTCCCCCAACTTAACATCACAAAGGGGTCTATATAAGTGAAGGCATGTCTGAACAAAAGTAGGCTACTTTTAATAAAAGGTCCAACATATTAGGAATACTTTTAACTCAAAATTTAGCTTAACCGTTGTGAAGAAACACCCAGTTTCTCCATCTTGTAAAAACACTGTCATTGTTTACCCTTGTTTTACTCTGTTGTGTCTCTGTGGATTTTGGCAAGTCTGCACATTTTGGATCCCACATCTGTAACAGAATCTGAATTTCTTTTTCCACAATTTGGACTGTATTAGCTGGTTTAAATATAGTTTCAATGTGTTACAACCCTTTGTTTTGTATTTTCTCGTTTCTGTCTCTCTTTTGTTTTGAAAGTGTTTGTGTCCAGGTATGATGCTGATTGAGAGAGAGAGAGAGAGGGGTGTTGGGTTTTGGCTGTGTGTTCTCTTAGTTGAACTTTGATTGTTTAGAGTGAGGATTGTTTGATCTTTGAAAGATATACGAATTTTGTAAGTAGGAACTGTTTGGTTTTTGACCCCATTGCTTGTTATGACGTGGATTTGGATTCTCCTTTTAACTCTGTTTGCCTGATCTTGTAAATAGTTGTATATCATTGTAAATATAGAGGGTTGGGAGAAAGTAAGGAGTTTGACGCCATTTTGTTTATTGTAACCTTTTTGATCTCTGTTTTGGGTTAGGGAGTTAGGTTAATATATTGTACTTTTAATTTAATTTTATTTTGGTTAGGGTTTAGGAATGAGGTCTTAAAATAAGGAAGTTTTGTTTATTATTTTGGCCTGGTCAACTCCTGAAGGAAATTCCCTATTTAGTTATTTTGATGGTTGTATTTTTGTTTGGTTTCATTAAAAACCCTCAAAAGAATCCCCGCTTCCTCTCTCTCTTTTCATGTTGCGTCCTTTACCCCTAGACGGGGCGTAACACAATGACACAGTACTGTACAACCTCTACCGCACACAGTTGGTGGTAAGCAGTACATTGTGTATCCTGTCGCAATCGCAATGACTATGAAAACTTTCCCAAATCTGAGTACTGGCATTGTTTCACATTTATGTCTGTCCCATTATTCACTGTTCAGTCAGTTCCAGATGGATAAAATCATGTCCACCATCGCTGTTTACTTATTTATTTAAAGGGGTCATATGATGTTGCTAAAAAGAACATTATTTTGTGTAGTGAAATGAGTTTATGCGGTTTAAGGTTCAAAAAACACATTATAGAACGGCGCGGCTGGCGGATTCTACACACAGAAATGTAAAGGTATTCACGGCAACCCGTCAAAATAAAAGTCCGGTTTAATATGAAGACATTTGTTACAACCCTTTGTTTTGCATTTCCTCGTTTCTGTCTCTCTTTTGTTTTGAAAGTGTCTGTATCCAGGTGTGATGCTGATTGGCTCCTGCA